TTCAATATATATTTGTGAGGGTTATTGCGTTTCAGTACGAGCTGCTAAAAACATTACGATAACATCAGTAGATAATCTTCAGTTTACTGTTACTTTTCTGTTAATATCAGCTTACCGAACTATCATTTCGGAAAATTTTTGTCGTGAAATCAGCTGATTTTAAGATTCAGTACGATATACTTTTATGTAGCTCTTTTTTCGATTGCTCTATTTTTATTCTTACATAAATTGTTTTTCTGTATATACTATTCAAAAGAGATGAGAAGACGCTATATGATGCGAGAAACCGTGAGAGCATACCGAATAATGTGGGAGTTAAAACTGATCGAATTATAACTTTTGAGTTATAACAATCAACCATTTTAACTAGATTAGCATTTTGATTCGTTGAGTAAATTTAAATAAGTTGAGATACTAATTATTTTAATTTATAATTAACATGTGTGATAGATTGAACTAGAATACATGTATTTCATTGTTATTTATTTTTAAAAGTTAATATTTATAGATTATTTTCAGAAGAATTTTTTATTTGTTCATTTACAAGTAACAGAATCCCGTATGTATATTTCGAACACAAATGCACGTGTAACACTATATTTTTCGTTGTATGAACAATAGTCATTTTAGACATGTGAATATCTGAAATTAGTATATGTAAAAATTGGAACTATTGAATTTTATTGCTTATTCTCTAAAATGATAGTCATCTTCAAAATATCTTATGAGGATAGATGTTACACTATTTGTCAGCATAATCAGATGTATTTCATTTAAACATTGAATAATTATATACGATTATTTTCTGTTCATTCTTGTACGTTCATTACTACTTTTATCAACACATCTATTGGTGTGTTGTTCCCGTTATTATATCGACAAACAAGAGTAGAGCAACGTCGATATTAAAAAAACGAAGGCAGTCTTAGCTAGAGTTGATTTTTATAAATTTGGTTAAAATCTATAAGGGGCCGTTTGCATTTCATCTCATCAGTAAGAAGTGGTATGGATTTTCAAAAAGTGACAATCGATGGCGCAGCCATGATAACATCATCATTTATATTATTATATCATTATTTTCTTAGATAAACAGAGTGCAAGTAATGCGATTGTTTTGGTCTAAAAAGTGTAAACATTAAAGTAAATTATGATTGATTAGAAAGAGATGCAAAATGAACAACAGGAAGAATTGCTCAATAGTTAGCTGATGTTGTGCAATATTTAGAAAAAAGCAAACAATTTAAACTTGTTTTTTTGAATTTTGCTATGTATTTTTCTCCTTAAATAGTGTACAGCAGCTCTTGTTACAACATCGTACACTTCTTAGCTGTGCATTCAAGTGAACAACTCTAAGATTGACTTTTCATCACTTATGGTAGTTTGCACAAGCGTTTGAAAAAAGACCTATGTTTATTAGAAACAATTGGTAGTTTTTATCGTTATTTTTATTTTTTTTTCTCTAAACATAGATTACATTTCAAAATGCTCAGACAGCTTGAAATCAAAGAAAAAAAACGAGCATGCAATTCTTGAGGCTGCAGTTGAAGAGTGTGAGTGTAAGTTTATTCTTCTCCCACATTCACACCCACTTATTTATTGTAACAATCGATATTTCTATGGTCATAAGTTTCTTGTTGCATCAAACAATTATCATTGACTTGTTCACAAGAAAGATCAGCGCTCTGATATGATATGGAAGAAATTCTAACAAAGGATGGCTGAATCGAATCAACAGGATTCTTTTCTCTATGATTGGTAAAACTTTGCTAAAGATAATAATAGAGACGATAGAATGAATTTCACACAATGAGAATTTCACAACATAATTATATTTGAATAATGCAAATAGAAAATTTCATAAAAATGTTTCGATTTTGACATACTTTATTATTTACTCAATACAGATCATGAATGAAGTTTGAGGGTATGAGTGGGTGTGTTCTCTTCTTTGAGATCAACCTACTCACATTCTCACTTTAGAAGAAAGCATAACAATATCTGTGTGTTAAACGAACTTGTAAGATAATAGTTATCTTCATCCAGACGCCTAAGATGTACAATCTTTCTGATCAAATTGACCGTTTAATCTAATCAACAATTAACTGTAACATTATGCAATTTCAGCTAATGACTACTAAACTAATATTATGTTTTAAACAGTAAAGCAACATATTCCTAGTGAATTACTTAATAAAGCAATTTTTTCAATATCTATACTAGTCATTGGATTTGCGGTTTGCACAAGAATTAACGTTCTCATTTTAGGAATATGCATATTTATTTCGCTTAGACGATCCCCGAACAATAAACACAGCAGGTATTTGATCATTTATCCGTGATATATGAACGTCATCAAAATTGGTTAAACGTGCTTGACAAATAGGAGTGACATTTTCATACTAAATTTAAACTAGAATTTTAAATCGTACTTCTCGATTTAATCATTTTTTTTTCAAGTGTAAACAGATAATCCCTAACCGACACAAAGTTTCACATCAAGATATCAAGCAGACAATATTTCGTCGGATTAGTGAATTTTTTTATTTTTTATTTTCGTTGGGTCACATTGTGATGCACGACGAGCTATACATCATTTTTATGAAAGTATGATTCATGTAGGATCGTTTGTAACATGTTTGAGTACTAGGAAAAAAGCCAGTTGCGACATTTGATGTAACAATGTTTCCGATTTTTAAATATTCCATACATTTTTATTGAAGTCAATGTGGGAGAAGTTATTTCAATAGACTCACTTTGCGTGGACAAGCTGCAGCGTTTATTTTGGCAATCTTACGACAGCGATTCAATACGCTTGTTTTCAATCATATTTCATTGTTACGAATACTTTGATTGATCTTAGTGAAGCAGATATGCCCCCTTTACTTACTGAAGCATGTGCGAAAAATCGTCTTGAGATTGTTCGTTTTCTCGTTGAAAACGATTACTCTGACATGAACAAGACAGAGAGCACCAGCGGGAACGGATTTACTGTTATGATAGTGACTGCTTTCCAAGGATTCACAGCTATAATTAAGTATTTAATTGAAATCGGTACTGATGTCAAGTACTATTGAAAAATCAGCCGAAGGCGTGAGTTAACACCTATTCATTTGGTTGTTCAGCGAGATTGTATCGATGCAGGTGCAGATACAAATGTAAACTTCAATAATGTTGACACACTTCTAGAGAGGACAGTAAAAAAAGAAATTTTTTCCTGTGATCGATTTTTTCTTTTGGAACAATCAAGAGGCAACCTCGAGGATCTTCAGCTTGCTACTGGTTCACTAGTTGCTACGAATTTCACCATTGAAGACTTACATCATCTAGGAAAGCTTTTGTCACTTGCTATTGAATACTGTTTTGCACTCAAACTCCAAAAGTTTCCATAAAGCCGAATATTGCCTAGGAGTATCATCAAGAATGTCAAACTTTCGAAAAACTTGAAACTATTGAAAATGATTCTGATCGAATGCGGATTGAAGCAGCACTCGTTCGAGAATGTATTTTACTACCACAAAATGATGTTACCTTAATATGACCACTACTTGATCGTTACGATCCATTAATATCGATAGACGAATTCGACAAATGTCTTCATTTGTGGATTCATGCATTTTACTTCTACCAAAAGATGCAGATAAATACTCAGCTATTCATTACAATGTAGTATTTAAACCGTGATTTAAATAATCCACGAGACTCTTATTACAAATTAACTGCTGAAAAACAACGAAACTAGCGAAAAAAAGCGAAAAAAATGAAAAAAAATGAAAAATTAACAGCTCAATATCCACCATTTGAATCATCAGCAAACATCAACATTATAAACCAACAATTAACATTATGGATGAACTAATTATAAAAGCAAAAGAAACAAAAAGATACGTCGTTGATATAGAATCTCAAAAAGGGAAAAAAGAAAAAAAAGGTGCATTAGTACAAATACAATTCGTACATTCAATCTACAATTCGACGATAATATTAATCGAATGCAACTATTTACCTGATCCACAATCATTATTATTTTCGAAAACCAAACAATTATGCTCAATTATATTCGATAACAACAACGAAATCATATCATGGGAACCAATCGACAATCCATTCGAAAATTTTCATCATCTCAACCATATCCATATAGATAAAAAATTTGATGATATTAATTTACAGTCTAAATTTAGGATTTGGTACAACAAAGTATATAAAACGCATCCAGAAATGGAAAGCCCGATGATAGAATCGTGGATGTATCAGTAAATACGTTTGATACGTCTGGTGATGATAACAATAAGATCGATGAAGAAACAATTGATAATGTTCAATTTAATTGTGATCATTCCACTCATTATGATTCAAACGCCACATGGTCACTTCAAGATGCAATTGCAACAGCGTTAGAAATTTTTTATATTTATTTTCTTGAAGCAACACTATAATGATAAATAAGTAAAGGCTCAACCATTGATCACCTACATGAAATTCATTTCTTTTTTCTTAGTTAAACTTTGAGAGTTTAAAAGAATGTACTGAGAAATGTCGAAAAGAAAAATGTCGAAAGGAAAAATGTCGAAAGCAAAATGTCGAAAGTAAAAATGTCGAAAAGTAAAAATGTCGAAAGGAAAAATGTCGCAAAGTTAAAATGTCGAAATGAAAAATGTCGAAAGGAAAATTGTCGGAAACTAAAAATAATAAAGAGCATGAGACGCAACTATTAATTAAATTAATAGAATGTATTTGATCTTCAAATTCGAACTAATAATAATTGTGAAGGTATTTATACACACTCGCTTTCTTTACTAACATAGCTCTTTCAACAAAACCGCTGAAAAAACATAATCTCTGGCTAACTTTTCTTACGCTTATCATAAACCTTATTTTCCTCTCGGTCTCTAGGTAGGCACAATAGATTCAATACTCGTGTGAATAAACATCATCCAAATATATGGCACTTTATCAATTGTTTGAAACAAGAAGTATATTTTCATCATCAAGTAATACAAATGCGAGCTGGTGCAACTGGCAGACCAAAAACAAAAAGAACAAATTGTGTACAACGTCGTATTACTACTCTTGCTGATCATTATTCAAATGATGAAATCAATTTAGGAGAATATTTAGAGGGTTTATCGTTTGTTGTTGCTAAGGATACAACAAAAAAAAATAATAAAAAATGATTGATTATTAGATATTTTTTGTTAAATTATTCTTTTTGTAAAATGATTAAAAAACTAGTTTCGCCCAGTTTTCCTTTCCCCTACAACATTAACACTACTAAGATCTTACTCTTGCAGTCTTCAAACTTTTCGACATTTTTCCTTTCGACATTTTTCCTTTTCGACATTTTTCCTTTCGGCATTTTTCCTTTCGACATTTTTTTTTTCGACATTAATCAGGCATACCGTTTAAAAAACAAACGAAAAAAGAAATTTTTTAATCTAATTTATACATCATGTTATATGGATACATGAAAATGATAATAGAATAAAAAAAAAATAATGATAAATAATAAATTTTGTTGTTTTTCTTTTTAATTTCATTATTTTGATTAATGTGAAATTTTCGGTCTTTTTTCTACGACCATCATCAGGACTTTTTTGGCCATGTGATACATTGTATAATTTTTTTTTTTGTTTTTGACCAAAAAATTTTCATATTGATAATCATCATATTGATTTCATCCGTGCGCCATCCTTGAACTGATTTTTCACCACCGTATCCTGTACCATAACACCGATGTTAAACTATACCATATACCACCATATCATAACCAACATGTCGATGTTAACCCATCCCATATACCACCATAACATCTACCACCATCTCAATGTTAATCACTACAGGATAATTTTCAAGAATTCTAATTCTAACATATACTTGAATTGTGTGATTCTCTAAATAGAGAAAAGGAAAATAAAACCATGTTCAATAGTTGCTTGTTAATGAATACATACATATAATAATATAAAACATGGATTTTTTAATAAATTTTTTATATTCTATTATCATTTTCATGTATCCATATAACATGATGTATTAAATAGATTAAAAAAGTTTCTTTTTTCGTTTGTTTTTTTAAACTCTCAAAGTTTAAATAAGAAAAAAGAAATGAATTTCATGTTGGTGATCAATGGTTGAGCCTTTACTTATTTATCATTATAGTGTTGCTTCAAGAAAATAAATATAAAAAAATTATTAAAAAATCCATGTTTTATATTATTATATGTAAGCATTAGAAAAATTCCTTGACAAATTAGAAACAGTAAATCATTGGCAATGTGGTCTTGATCTGGATTTAAATACATGGAAAGATAAACTATTGAGTCGACATCAATATAATAAATGAATGGAACAACAGCAAAGATTAAAAATGAAACAATATGCAATTAATGATTGTGCTGCAGTTGTTGACTTATTTTTTCACATGTATCGAGAAAAAGTAGACGATCATTACATATTGGAAACACCAACAACAACATCAACAAATATTATAATGAATTTGGAACATGAATTATCGGACAATAGTAAAGATGAATTAATTCAATATCTCAAACCAAAGTTCGATAAACGTGAAACAACACTATATCCATCAGATGATGAAAAGAACATCTTAGCAACACAACCAACAGAAGAAGAAATGTGTGAATTTAACATGAACGAAGCTCAACAGGTATAACAACAATCACAAATACAAACAACAACATTGACAAAAAATGAACGGCAAAGAAGAAAAAATTTAAAACTTAAATGGTAGCAAAAAAATCGTCTGGATTTTCAACACAAAGTTAAACGGCCCATTTCTCATAAATATGATTGTAAAACAATTCGGGCCCAACTCAAAGAAGATGACATTCATACAAGTCATCAAATTACTATCAATAGACACAAAGGTGAAGTTTTAATTGGCTTTAAATCACAACATAAACAAGAAAAGCAAGAACAAAAATGAAAATAAATTATTTTTCAAAAGAACAATACGAACAACGATGGGTGTGGGTGTGGGTACGAAGAAGAACGAATTTGAGTCCATGCACACCCCAGCACACTCACACCCACTCACACCCTCACCCCACACCCACACCCTGCACATTTGCTTTTTAGTCAAGTCTGTGCTTGTTTTGTAAACCTCAATGAGTTATGATTATGATAAAAAAGTTCGTACCCATGGTCTGTTTGTGAGGAAATCGAACGCTTTTAGTTTTATAGCTGGATATTTTCATGAAATCTCAACCACGTTGTACAAAAATCATCTCTGATTTCGATGAAACTTTCAGCGTTTGTAAATCTTTTAGCTCTGAGCATTTTAATGAAAAAATGTTTTTCGAAACGCTTTTATTTTAAGGGAGACGCACTCAAAATTCTACAAGCAGTACAAACTCACAAACTCTGAAGACAATTTTTTTTCGCGTTTTCTGAGTTTATACTGTTTACAGTATTTTGAGTGCATCTCTCTTAAAACAAAAGCGTTTCGAAAAAAGTTTTTTTTATTAAAATGCTCAGAATTAAAAGATCTACAAACGCAGAAAGTTTCATCGAAATTGGAGATGGTTTTTGTACAATGTCGTTGAGATTTCATGGGAATGCCTAGCTGTAAAACTAAAAACGTTCGATCTCTTTGCAGACTGACCATGGGAACGAACTTTTCTTTTTATCATAATCATAACTTATTGAGGTCTACAAGATGAGCATAGGCTCGACTCAAAAGTGAATGTGCATCTGGAAGTGTTTCTTCGTTAGTTGTATTGCAGTTTTTTTTACATAGATTATCTCCATGTTCTAACTTAAATATACTTCTATCGAAAACAGTATTCGAGAAAGTCGTGTCATTTCGTCCAATTCAATTAACTTTCCCTTGGTCTCAAAACAGGTCAATGATACGTGGATTCTACGCTATACTTCAGGTAACTTCTTTTGGTTCTATGGTTTTGTGTGTTCATGTGAACGGGCATCTTATTGTTGGATGCTAGCGGGTTTCTATTTTCATGCCCCCTTGTGCACACCAACGGACTTCATATACTCTGAAATGATTCTTGGTCTCAGAACTGATTGCCAAATTGTGGACTTTACCGTTTCTACACTGAAATGCTTTTACAATCAATCATGTGTACAGATGCTGATCTATAACCTTTTTTCGTTCTCAAGATCTATTTTCAAGTTTCCAGTTATGGACTTTTATTGATCAATGGAACGAAACGACAGATTATGAATCATATACTTTGTTCAATGTCAACCAGAGATGTGTACCTTCATGATCGATGAAAAATTGAAACTGACTGCGCTTGTTAACTCAATTTTTGGTCTTATTGGAGGGCTGAATGTTCTCCTTCGTCTTCTTGTTTCGTAATTCACCTACATTATTCATCAAATTTATCTTTTATATCGTCATAGGATACGAAGTAAGAAACTTTATTCTTTGAATGTTTCATTAATTTTGAAGTATTCTAGATATATTTGAACTTCGAACACTGATCGCCTATGTTCTCGAAAAACTGAATCACATAACTGTTTGCAAAAAAAACTCTGAAGTCGAATATCGAGTTTTGACGACACGAATCTATATTGTTCTACTAGTTCCATGTTTTGTGATCGTCTCACTTTTCACTGGATTCCAGCATCGTACCATATTGTTAAGCATAGAATCACCAAATGAGAGTTACTTTATATTTCTTTATTCTAATTATTATGATAGTTTATCGTGTCCTTGTACAAACGTATCTATTGGTTATCGTGATATTTTAGATTTTTCATATAAAGCTCATGAGATCTGCCAGCCATTGTCATGGTCAAAGATTATTCTTTTTGTTCAACCACAAACAAACCGGTTGTGAAGTGAATCTAGTCGAGATCTCATTCGAGCACAATTTCAAGCTCTCTATTCCCAATGCGCTGCCTTTTCATTAAACTTACAACGGTTGCTTTTGAATATTGGCCTAAGTAGTTTAATATCAATGAAAACTATGGACTTACGAACATTTGATGCATTTATCAATACGTCAATCACTAGAATAGCGACATATAATTTAGCCGCAGCAGATCATGCCTATGAGTCATTATCCGTTATGCTTCAAGTGAACCAATTTCAAAACCAATATATGACGAGCTGGAAAACAGAATTTTCGAGTTCTGATGAAAACTGTATTCTTCGCTATAGCCCAGTTTCATTGAACGATGGCAATTGTTCTTGTGCAAGTGGTAAATCTAATTGTACAGAGACGCCTACATTTTACAATTCAAATGGTACTTTAGTTGTACTTTCAGGAAATATCTTGAAACAATTCCTCCCGTAGGATTCCATTATTAAATAATAAATATGCGAGATGTCTAATAACATTTCAAATTGAAAAATATTCAACATATCCTGAGCATTATATCACAACTTTCATTCATTTAGGTTTCATCATCGGATGTTCACTCTTTGACGGTCTTTCTCATTCGACATTCCAGTGTTTCTATGATGATGTTTGCGTGGATGAACTAAACAGAGCCTTGGATAGTGATTTTACTAAATTCAATCATAATGCAACTCGATTTCCACCAATGACTCCAATCGGCTCGATTCTGGACGAGCATTTAATAGAGTTCGTTAATTGTTCAGGTAACTATTCAAACTACTCTCGATTGTGCGCTTTATCAAAATGCCAGTATCATTATACAAAACATAATAATATCTTTTACATATGTACAATATTGATTGGACTGTATGATGGATTGACTATGGCTCTACAAATTTTCTTTTCGCACTTGTTGCATCTCAGCCGACTGTTCATCAGACGATGTCTACATTCATTGCAGCGGGTGTCTTCGTCGTTGTAAAATCTAATGAATCGCTCAGAAAATCAGCAATATGTCGCTCGTAACCGAAGGAACCAATGACCGAAAACGAATCGAACCATCTTCATTAGAACTCGTTTTAATTCTGTCTCTGAGAGGAATAATCTTAATTTTCGATATTGTATGTCTTTTTTTGGTTTTTTTCAGCGTAAAACTTGGCACTAAGAATCATTGGCTTTGCTTTTGTTCAATTGCTTTGTATGCAAAACAGCTACTACTGTGCAATAAAAATACATCTTTTCATGTCGTACTCTTATTTTTCTCCACATTCATCTATATCAGCCGGAACAAGATTCTACAAACTATTTAATTATCGTGACCATCAGATAATTATGTTTAGAAAAGAAAATTTTAAAACATCATATTACTAATTGAATCGTTAGAGACGATGGAGAATTTGAACCATTTGTTTCAATAGATAATCCTCTACGTCAATCATTTTCTAATAATCTGGGTGTGGGTGTTGATTTGGACACTTATTCTATCTATACTCACAGCCACACCCACACACTAATTATTATAAAAATAATTATAAATCTGTTAAATGATGTGATCAGACTGCTATGACAAATTCTATTTTGATAAGCAAAATGATTAATTCTTCATGAATTTTAACAACGATTTAGGTTCAAGTCTCTGTCTGAAAAAGAAATTCTTTTGATCCTTGTTTTCTCTTGATTTCCTTTTGTTTTGTTTTCTATTTTAATCCTTTTTTGAGCTTCACTTAGTTTTAAAGTTGCTGAGTTGCTTTTATAATCGATATCTAAAAAGCAAAAGTTGAGACTAGCAGATTAAACTTGTCTAATTCTTCAGATCATACGTCGGTTTGCTTCCAATTGGTGTCTCTTTAATATAAAAACAAATGCTCTATGAAAAGAAAACAAACGATTTCTTACAAGTATTGTAAAAGAGTTTGTACTTTGTAACTGTATTATGAACAATTCCCAATAATTTAACATCGAGTTAGCTGAATTATTCAGCAAGGGTGTGGGGTTGGGAGTGGGTGTATGGGTGGGGATGTTGATCATATTGGTGTGGGTGTGGATGGTTGTGGATGTGAGAGTGGATAGGGATGTGGGTGTGGGTTGGGCTGTTGATCATATCATCGCCTACACCCACACCCATACACCGACCACACCCACATGCTTCTTTTTCAGCATTTCTTCAATTAGATATGTACTATTCGATCAATAAAAATTGATAATCAACGGATCTAAACCGACTTTCGATTTTGGTATCGATAGTAAGGAGTATAATGATTGTAATCAACATAAATGTAATAATCAGCTCTATAGATAAATCTGAAAAATGGAGCATTGCTTGTTTCTTCTTTAGTTTCTTCTCAACAACAAAGAAAAAACTAAGACAAGGTATACAAAGACAAGATAAGATCTCTAACCGAGATAACATGAATGCAACATGTTTCACCGATGAATATCTCATTTCAACCACGTTGATTATGGCAGAAGAGGAGACGACCGTGAGATCAACAATTATGACTACGACTGAGTTAAG